TGTTTACTATYCTTGTACTTTCAATTATAGATGAACGAGTTTCGTATTTGATAGTGTACGTACATTAACGCACACGATAGTAGTGTACGTGTGTTCTTATATATGACGCAAAGCCGAAACATGCATGTATTTGATAGTGTACGTACGTTCTCAGATATGACATAAAACAGAAACATTTAATGCAGAGCATTAATTATATTGGAGCAGACGGAAAGTAAGGACATTTTCGTCCAAAATCTTGCCATGTGACTAATTTGTAAGCCAAAACTCATTTGTGACTTTTTAGCAATTACAAACTAAAATTGTGACTTTTTAGTAAATGTCTCTTCTTGATAATGCTTATGAGAAAAACATTATTTTGGACTTACAAGATTTGTTGCAGAGATTCACGTTTGATACTTCTTCGATTTTGATGACTGGTTATGATACAATGTGTCTATCCATTGAGTTACCAGAAGTTGAGTTTGGTGAAGCTGTTGATATATCAAACCAATGATCTTTTGGAAACTTCAAAATTGGATTGGCTTTGGACTAGAGAGGAAGCTGAGAATGGGTTTAGTTACTGTCAATCAAATGTTTAAGAAGATCATATCTTCTAGAAGAGATGATATTAGTCATGGGATTCACAAGAAGAGCGAGCCACTAATGGACCTTTTAACATATTATAATGATGAATTCATCAGAGACACTGTTTTGAGTTTCTTGCACTACAAGAAAACAAACAGTATTCCGACGGCATCCCGACGGATTTCTGAGCAAAATGAATCCGTCGGAAATCCGTCGGTTTATTGTGATGGATTTCCGACGGAAATAAGCTGTCGTAATTTTCCGACGACTTTCCGACGGAATAACGACGGAAATCCGATTTTTCCGATGTCGGTAAAGTTTGAGTTCTATCAACGCAATGATCAATTCCTTGGTAACTAAACCGTATCCCACATACAGTTCGATGCCGGTGGCAGACCAGGACACCTGGTTTCGGCAATTTGCGGTATGATTTTTTGTTTCCCAATTAAGAATGTAGATTTTATTTTCCATTCAAATTGTCAATACTAATCTGGGTACGTTTTTTTTCAGCAAGAATTTACTTGGGAYCCACAGTTGACTGCTTCGGTCCRACGGSARTTCSACAAAAAGGYCGGTCRAAAGTACTYGTTGAAGWTRAACGAGTGRAAGGACATGTGGTTCAAAGAAGGGAAGGTGCCTCGGGTTATGAAAAATAACCCAACATTATGGGCTGGACTACTTGCCCATTGGGAACGGRAGGACACTAAADCGARCTCAGGAAAAAACTCGACTAACCGGAACAGCGACCGGAAGGGGAAGGGACCGGCGACCCATAACCTCRGAGCAACGAGCAAAGCGTCACGTGTTGAAAAACTGGTAATTTTCTAAATTTTCCAAATTTTTTTGTATAACCCCTCTCATATTTCCTTCCTTATCTATGCCAACAGTTTGAGAAGACCGGTGTGCGTCCGTCACATCTTGATTTGATCAAAGATGCGCACACCAACAGAAAGACTGGTGAAATTCAAGATGCCATTGCTCGTAAAATCGTGGAAAGCGTGGAGAGGCTCGGTGAGGAGTACCTCCAATCCCAACCGATCGTCGAAGGAACTCCCCCGGCCACTGAAGTTCCACTCGAGAAGATCAACGAGTTCACCTATGAGGTTAGTAACACTGTCAAATGTAAACAAATTTAAAATAAATTTTAATACAAATAAGTTAGAACATTGATTGATTTATTTTTTATCGTAGGTTACGCCTAAGAACAAAGGTCGTGTGTTTCGCCTCCCGGAAGACAGTTCCTCCACATCCGTTAATTCATACCGCTTTCACGCAGATAGTAGGTTGATGGCACAGAACGTCAAGCTTCTCGAGCGCATGAGCGTGATGGAGACACAACGCGCAGAAGATGCAGAACGCATTCGGGCAATGGAAGAACAGATGACCCGCATGCAGGCAATGGAAGAACAGATGACCGCCATGCGGACAATGGAAGAAAGGATGAACGAGTTCTTCCGTAACCATTCCCAGTACACTTTACTTTATGTAATATTTAAATGTTTAAATCACTTTTCAAAAATATTGA